GCTTTGTTTTATGTGACTTCTTAATTTATTGCTTGGCTTGTACAGAGTGAAGGCCTATAAGAGAAAATGCCCCAAAAGCGGTGGCTTTTTTTTGAGTTGCGTGCATACATACTTACACTTATATATAGATTCTCTTTCCTTATTTAACAGTCTGATTGTATTTTTTTTTTACTGTCCCTCTATCTTTTTTTTTTGCTTTCACTGTTCTTATGTCGTTTCTCTTTTTTTCTTTTGCTCTGTTTCGTGGTGTTGTGTGCGGTTTTTTTCACCCACCTTTTGAGCTTCATGTACAGATTTTTGCCACAGCTAGGTAATTTTCTTGCGGGGAAAGCAGTGCTTCTAAACGGAACCCGTTTTTTTCCACGGTTCGCCCAAATGTCAGCCCTAAATGCAAATCTGGAGTCTGACAAACTTGTCCTAACAGATGCCGAAGAAGGAAAGGTTGTTACTCGTTTTCCTCCTGAAGCCAGTGGATTCCTCCACATTGGACACGCAAAGGCAGCACTTATAAACAGTATGCTTGCTGACAAGTTTAAAGGAAAGCTTATTTTTCGCTTCGATGATACCAATCCTTCGAAGGAAAAGGGTCATTTTGAACAGGCTATTCTAGATGATGTAGCATCTCTTGGGGTTTCATGGGATATTGGTCCGACTTTTTCGTCAGACTACATGGATCTTATGTATGAAAAGGCCGAAGAGCTTATTGAGAAGAATCTTGCATACTGTGATAAAACGCCGAGAGAAGAAATGCAGAAATGTAGATTTGATGGAGTTCCTACCCGGTATCGTGACGTAAATATAGAGGAGACAAAACGGTTGTGGAATGAAATGAAAAATGGAACTCTTGAGGGCCAAGAGACCTGTTTGCGAGCGAAAATTTCGGTTGATAATGAAAATAAGGCCATGAGGGATCCCGTAATTTATCGATTTAATGAAACCCCACATCCCAGACAAGGAACAAAATACAAGATTTATCCGACATATGATTTTGCTTGTCCAATTATTGATTCCGTTGAAGGAGTAACGCACGCTTTGCGAACCAATGAGTATCACGATCGTAATGATCAGTATTACTGGTTCTGTGATGCGTTGAATATACGAAAACCAATAGTGGAGGATTTTTCAAGACTGAATATGGAATATACTGTTATGTCCAAAAGAAAGTTGACTCAGCTGGTGGAAAACGGTGTTGTGGACGGATGGGATGATCCTCGATTTCCAACGGTGCGTGCCTTGGTTCGACGTGGCTTGAAGATGGATGCATTAAGGAAGTTTGTTCAGGCACAAGGTATGTCAAAGACGGTTAATTTTATGGAGTGGTCAAAGCTCTGGTTTTTGAATACACAAATTCTTGATCCCTCAGTCCCACGTTATACTGTTGTATCAAATTCATTGAAAGTCCGTTGTGTTGTGGAAGGGCAAAAACACCTTGAAAAATGTGAAAAACTGCTGCATAAAAAGGTTCCGGAAATGGGTACTAAAACTTATTTTAAATCGGATGTTATTTTCCTGGACACCGAAGATGTTGCTCTTCTTAAGGAAGGCGATGAAATTACGTTGATGGATTGGGGAAATGCATACATTAAAAACATGCGCTCTGTTGGGGAGTCATCGACGATAACAGATGCTGATATCGTTTTACATCTTGAAGGTGATGTAAAGAAGACGAAGTACAAGTTAACGTGGGTTCCAGAGAATCCGAATGCGGAGGTGATGGAACTTGCAGAATATGATCACCTTCTTACAAAGAAAAAGCCAGATCCTGAAGAGAAGATTGATGACCTTATTGCTCCAGTGACAAAATTTACTCAGGATGTCTACGCAGAAGAAGCTCTTCGAACCCTTCAAAAAGGCGATACGGTTCAGCTTGAACGCCGGGGGTATTACATTGTGGATTCTGTAACACCCAAAAAGGTCCTCATCTATATTCCTGATGGACGCGACAAGGTTAATCATTTGTGTGCCAAGGCACAGTATTTGAAGTCTATATCGAAGGATGGCAAGTCTTCCGCTGCAAACGATTTGGAAGCAAAGCGAGCTGCGAAAGCTGCGAAGAAGGCTCTCCAAAAGCAAAAACTCCAAAAAATTAGCTACTGGCGTAGTAGACGTGAAATAATTAATGTGCTGCTTTGTTTTATCCGCATCATCCTTTTATTATCATTATTAATGTTCGCATTTGTCATTCTAAAGAAAATAAAGATTAATTTCACAGAAGCACAAAGATCGAGAGAGGGGGAAAACACGACGAAGAGTTAAAAATAAATAATAATAATAATGAGCTTGACTTATTGGAGAGATATATGTATGCCTTCTGACGTTACAGCCTATTATTGTTGTTATTGTGCTGTAAGGGGTTTGCTTTTATTGTTATTATTATTATTATTATTATTATTATTTTCTTCTTCTTTTCTATTCTTCATGTCTTCTTCTTTTTTTGATCTCTCTTTTCTCTTCCTGCTATCTGCTTGCTTTCCTGTCGCATTTGCTTGGATGTATTAATGTATGTATTTTTATCCGCAACAGGAGTTAGAGATTGGTGTTATGCCCCCTAAAAGGTCTATTCGGTTTGATGATTTGGGGCTTTCAACACCAATACCTCGCGTGTTAGCAACAACTCGCGAACAAAAAAAGAAGGAAAAATATGAAATTAAAAAGGAGAAGACTGCACGGCTAAAAGAGGCAGAGGAACAGCTCTCTCTGATCAAGGGTACTGTAGAAAAACACAAGGCCTTTGTGAAAAAGGAAATTGCTCTTCAAAAAGAAGCCAAAAACGAGAGAAGGAAGGCACTCTCTGTCTTGCAGGAACGCGTTAGACAGAATAGAGAAACTGAAGAGGCTATGCAGAAGGAGAAGTCGTTTATTGCACAAAAGAATTATATCTCCAAGCTGACACTAGATCGTGCGGTAAGTGAAAAAATACATGTGAAGCTTCAAGAAACTATCGATCGAGAAACCAATGAGCTCGCAAAATCGGTTCCCAAAAATGTGCATGTTTCGGTTAGTCGTAACCCTGAGATAGAAAAGATTCGGAAAGAGCTTCCCGTTTTGCGGGAAGAACAAGTAATTATTGAGGCAATCAACAATAGCTCTCGGACCTGCGTGCTTATATGTGGTGAGACGGGAAGTGGGAAAACGACCCAAATTCCTCAGTTTTTGTGGGAGTGTGGATATGGTGATGCAAAGGGTTCGGCCTTTGCAAGGGAAGGAGCTATACTTGTTACAGAACCCAGGCGTGTGGCAGCAGTTTCAATGGCGAAACGTGTAGCTGAAGAATTAAATACTTCCTTTGGAGGAATGGTATGCTATCATGTTCGATATGATAACAATCTTTCCGATAATTTTAAGGTGAAGTTTGCTACTGAGGGTATTGTATTAAAAGAGATTCAATCGGATTTTTTGTTAACAAAATACAGTGTTGTGGTGGTGGATGAGGCGCATGAACGAAGTGTTGCAGGG